AAAAAAAAAACCTGAGAGTGCTGGAATTCAGCTTGGTTTCACTTTTATACCGCTCCAGGTTTCCCAGCCCATGGAATGGTGTGCTGGTCATTGTTAAAGGTTCCCCTCATGGTCTGTTCTAGACAATCTCTTACAGGCACCCCCAAAGGGTTAGGGTCTAGTGATTCTAGATCCTTTCAAGTTGACAACCAGGGCAGTGGTGCAACGCACCACTATTTGTCACACACAGTCTTGCAGAAATGATGAAAAATGGGAATTAGAGTATATAGTTATAGAAATTAAATAAGGTACAGATCATCTTAAAGTTCAGAGTTTCCCAATTGCTCAATCATATTTACATTTGCATAATTAAAAACTGGAGTGGAAAATGCTCCACGTTAGCACTCTTCATCACAACCTAATTAATATGGAGAAAGATGGGAATGGAGAAATAGACAGAATGCCAAAAGTGCTTATGTTGCCCCTTATGGAGTAGGTTCTGGGCCAAATTTTGGAATAAAAAGCATGACAGTGTCTGAAAGGCTTTGAAACTCATATGGAAGTTCATATTCAGTGCTAGCCAAGTACTCTATGTAAATATATATATTTATCTAATTCTCATAATAATACTGAGTTTAATTTCACAATTAGAAAAGTATAAGTAGTTGGTACTTCTCAGTAAATACTGCCTGAATCTAAGTGAATTATTGAGTCTATTTTCATCATTGAAACTGACGGAGCACTTTGAAGTTTAAGTTTCTTTTTAACCAAAATTCTAGATAAGTGGGAAGGCTGAAGACTTGCAAATTAATATTACACTGAAAGTTGATTTTTATAGAAATAATAAGTACAAAAGAGAGAAAAATAATTTTTAAAAACAAGGACATGTATTAGAAAGATTTCTCGTACTGCAGTGACATTCTGATCCCTACTCTTATCAAGTAATTGCTATAAGTACCTCTGTCTTATTGAGGAACACTAAGTGTATAAAATATTTAGAAACTTTCATCATTGACTTCTGAGGTCTTATTTAAATTATAAGGTACTTCTCAGCCTTATCATTCTTATTTCTTGTGTCCTTTCCACCAAATTTTCAGCAACACTCTAACTTGCTCATTGCCAAGGTTTATAATACTGTCATTAATTTCATAAACTACAATTATGCCATCTGGCCTTGTCTGAACTATTCCCCCAAAAGCTGAAAATTCATTGTGTTTAGCTCCAAACAAGGTAGTCTAAACATTACTATAATAAACTCTCCCTCTTAAAAGAGATTATTTTCCTAATCGAAATCATCTTTCCTCAACTGCTCATGATCTGGCCATGCTTTTGTAGCACAAGTACAAATGCATTTGATCCATTCATGGTTAACCATTTTTAAAATGTATTAAACTGTTGCTACCTGAACAATTTCATGGAATAATACTCTTTTTAGGATATCAGAGCGGTAGGACAGTGAGAAGCTTCTTTTATCCACTAACATTGTATTTTCTCAATTTTTAGATTTAGTTGTGAAAAAGATGTAATCTAATTCTTGAACAAAATTATTAGGACTGTCTTGATCCCTTTTCTAATGTTGTGACAAAGCACCATGACCAAAGTAACTTATAAAAGAAAGAGTTTATGCATGCTTATAATCTCAGAGAGTGATTTCATGACTTTCATGGTGGGGAGCCAGGGCAGTACGCAGGCCGACATGGTGCTGGA